TGTTTTATTCCCCAGATTAGGGAAGTTCTCAGCTATAATTTGCTCAAATATATCCTCTAGTCCTCTCTCTCCACTCCCTCCGGGATTCCAATAATTCTGACACTGGAATGCTTCATGGTGTCACTTATTTCTCTGATTCTATTTTCATGGATTCTGAGTTGTTTTTCCCTGGCCTCCTCTTTTCCCTTTTTATCTATTAAATTGTCTTCCAAGTCACTTATTCGTTCCTCTGCCTCACTTACCCTAGCTGTTAGATTATCTAGATTAGATTGGATCTCATTGATAGCATTTTTAAGTTCTGCCAATTCAGCTTTCATTTCTGCCCTTAGAGACTCTGTGTTGCCATTAATTGATTTCTCCATTCTAGCTATTGTCTTTACAATTGCTAGCCTGAATTCCATCTCCGACATCTTGGTTATATCTGCATCCATTTGTAAATCTGCTGCATAAGTCATAATCTCTGAGTATTCTCTGTTTTGGGGGTTCCTCCTCCTAGTCATTCTGTTGATGGGTGGTTGAGGGCATGTATAGCGTCCAAATTATTGACCAGAACCCAAGCAAGATGTACCTGTTTTCTAGGGACCTTAGGGTTGCTGGCCTCTTGTTCTCCCAGCCTGTCTTCTGTGGGAGGGGCCTGCGGCGCTGTTGCTCAGGCAACCCTGTTTGGGCAGAGTTGCCCTGCCCCCTGTGGAGGGGGATGGGCTCAGTGGGAACCAGTTTTTGAGGCTTTTGTTCTCTGGCAGCTTTCCGCGTCTCTTCCGAGAGTCAGAGCAGAAGAGACTGTTTCCAACCCTCTGCCTCAGAGCAGAGAGATTGCACACTATCTCCATTTCTGTCCATGCTGCTATAAACTGCAGCGTCCTGAGTAGTGTGCCCCTCCGCAGCGCCCCCAGTCCTGCCTTCAGGTCAGGGCACATTTCTGCCCTTTGTGCTTCTAAAACTGCCAGCTGCTTCCAGTTCGCACGCACGACCCTACCGCTCTGGGTTTCTGTCCTGGGGGTTGCCCTAAAGTCCTTTCCCCGCCGCTACCGGTCTGGGAGTCTGTGCCCCGTCCCCAGCATGCAAAACTGTCACTCACCAGAGATGTAGGATCCCCAAAGCCAGGCTCCCTCCCGCTGCTGTTTATCCTCTGATATCTGCCCATGGAATCACGGCTCCCCACTTCATACCTCGAAACCAACCACCTGAGATACTCTGTTTGTTAAAGATCCAGATCTATTTTCTTACATTTCAGGCTGATTTCATGGGTGCTCAGAGTGGTCTGGTAGATATCCAGCTCAATTCCAGAGACCAGATGGAATAGGGTCCCCTACTCCTCTGCCATCTTTTCTCCCACCCTGACTAACTGGAATTTAAATAAAAACTAAAAACCAAAACAAAACAAAACAAAAACTTGTTTTGTGGCCTAACAATTGACATATCCTACAGAATGTTTCCATGTGTTACTTGAAAAGAATGTGTATTCTGTTGAATTTGGATGAAATGTTCCGTATAGGTCTGTAAAGTCTGTCTGGTCTATGTCATTTTAATGCCAATGTTTCCTTATTGATTTTTCTGTCTGGATGGATGATCTATCCATTGATAAAAGTGGGTTTTAAAGTCCCGTATTATTACTGTACTGCTATCTTCTTATTGGATTGACCCCTTTATCATTATATAATGACCTTGTCTCTTAATTAGTCTTTATCTAGCTTTCTTTAGGTTTCCATGTGCATGGATTATGTTTTCTGTAGGTTTCCATGTGCATCTTTTCCATCCCTTCACTTTCAGTCCGTGTGTACTCTTACATCTGAGGTGAAGTATTATAGCAGCATATAGATGGGTCTTGTTAGTCACTCTGTCTTTTCATTGAGAATTCAGCCCATTCACATTTAATGTAAATATTAATAGGCATGCACTTATTGCCATAGTGTTCATTGTTTTCTGGCTATTTTATAGTTCCTTTGTTCCTCTCTTCTTCTCTGGTTCTCTTCCTTTGTGATTTGATGATTTTCTGCACTGGTATGCTCGAATTCCTTTCTCTCTTTTGTGTATCTAACTACAAGGTTTTGCTTTGTAGTTACCCATGAGACTTACATAGATTGTTACAAATGTAAGTAGCCTTATTTTAAGTTAGTAGCAACTTAAGTTAGAACACATTCTAAAGCTCTACATATTTACTCCTCCCCCCTTTGCTGTAGCATGACCCACACATGCTCATCATGTTCGTTTTTTGTTTATATAGTTTTTTAATATAAGCTCTTAAATAAATTAAATGTGGACCCGCCAAGGCTGTTAAATAGTATATACAACATTAAAAGAGAAAATTTAATGGTTCCTAGATCCTGCCTAAACATGTCTGCTCTAAAGTTAATTTCACAATAGGAGATAAATATTCTGTATTTAGGTTCGAGTCAAAGTAATACCTAACTGGAGAATGCAGGCTTTAAATATGTTTATGTACTATATTAAATGGAAATAAAACTTTGGCATTAAGTGATAATGCAACCACTTTTCTTGTACTTCAAATTCACTGTTCCTTCATATACAGATGTAAAATTTTTATTTTACCGCAGACTTCTAGCTTAATTTGCTTTCTTGAAAACCACAGAGCCCAGTCATTGTATAATCAATATGAAGTTATTCCAGTGAAGACAGTCAGGACTTGTGGAAGAAAGCCATCCAATGAGGAGCCAAAGAAGGAGGGAGGGAGGCCTGTTTTTTTTGGCTGTGCCAGTCTGAAGTGAAGTTTCTGTCTGACTAAACTGGGGGGTGGAAGGAAAAGAAAATGTGTTGTTTCAAATGCCACAGATTCTCATTGTTCTTAGCAAATCTTGGTAAACTTTCTTGAATTTCCAATGACTTGTTTTAGAATTTTCACCATTTCACTGGGCAGCTACTCATGCTGTCATCCTGGAAGTGCCTCTCATGTCCTCATTTATGCCCAAAATGTTTTCTTGGGTTATATGTCCAATTGTCTTCTTTAGGGGCTCTAATTATATATATGTCAGACCTCCTTTGACTACCTTCCATTTCAACTACTTTTGGATATTTTTTTTCCTCATTTTAATTCTGTTTTCCTATACATTTCTGGTAGGATTTTGCCTTCTTGTCTTTTTTTTTTTTTTTTAATTCAATCCATTCTCCGTATATTTTTTTCTTGTCTTCTTGACCATTATTGTTCTTTGTATTTCTCAAAGTGGTTTTTTGCCCCCATACTCCCAAATGTTTATTTGATGACATTTCATTCAGTTGAAGAGTGTCGTGTTACAGTGTAGGTTTTGGATTTTTCAGTTCTGTCCTTCACTTAAGAGATTTCTTTTATAGATATACAATTATTTTATGGCAGTTTTTGTAGGTTTATTGGGGGAGGAGTGAGGAAAGGCTATTATTTTTTGCCCCTCTTTTCCTTCCTGCAGGATCTTTAATTTCCTTGTTTTCCTCACTGCCACACCTCTATGGGGAGCTAACTCTTCTCTTTGTATCTGATTCTCCTTCAAAAGTAATGCTTCTCTGAGGCTGCGTCTTCAGGTCACATGTCTTTCTATAATCATTTCCCTATAGCATGTGTTGTGAACCAGTATGTCCTGACCTGTGTTCAGTATTCTGGAACTTAGTATTAGGCTTTTTCTTTTTGAGGATGCTTTTGCTTGTGCTATTTCTTAGTTGTTCATGCCCCTCTACTCTTAAGGCCTTAGAATTTATTTCTCTAGTTAAGGCAATTAGAAGGTTATGGTATTGTTTCCTAGTCATCCTGAAGAGATGAGTGATTTATTTGATCACTTTTTTTAAGTCTGAGAAAAATCAGGCTGCTGTCGTTTGGACAAAGGTCCAAAAAAACCTTTGTTAAGAAGACTTTTAATTATGGATTTAATCTCTTTATTAGATACAAGACTGCTTAAATTTTTTGTCACTGTTGACAAAATTGTCAGTTGTATTTTTCTGTATGTAACTTCCTGATTTCATATAAATTTTCAAACTCATCTGCATAAGGTTTTAATATTCTGTTACTATATTTTATGTAGAATCAAGAACAAACAAGATGTTATTCTTGCTACTGGCAACATGGGTCTTCTCTTTTCTTTCTTCATCAGTCCTTTTAAAGGAAGTGGCAGTTTTGGAAATACTGGTAAGGTCTTCGACATTTCTCTCTGCTCTCCCCTAGAATCTTTGAAGATAGTGACTGCCTTCGCCAGTAATATACCGCAGATGTGACACTATATGAATTCTGAGGCTAGGTCATAAAATGCCTTGCAGTTTCATGCTAGTTTTATGGGGATGTTAACCCTAAAGAGTGTCCCAAGAGTATAAACCTCCTAACTAGTCCATCCTGAGGAAAACACCTACCTTTTTGCCCTCACAAATTTTAGAAAGCAAAGAATTCAAATAATCAATGTTACATTGGAAACCACAGAAGTGGAGATGTAATAGATAAAGCTGTCAGGGAGTTTTCATATACCCATATGTGAATAGCTGGTTTAATACATATGTAGTCTGCTCCCCACCCCATTTCACATTAAGTGGAGGAAGATTAAGTTGTAACATGCAATGCTGAAATATCCCTACTTGTCTACCATACGGCATGTTGCACTGCTAGGAATTCTAAAAAAAAAAAAAAAAAAAAAAAGCTATGGATTAGGAAAGTTCAGAAAATGCCAGCAACTAGTAGTATCCAATTAATATTTGTTAGATGAATGTGAATGAATCAGTTCATTTTTCTCTGGCCTAAATTACCACAAGCATAACATACAATAAAAAGTTACTGAACTATTAATTCATATTCTTCAAAGTGCTGGTCTCTCTGGGACCCTTATCTTGAGAAGAGCTTATTTTCTCAACATTATTTTAATCTTTTTTGAAATATTTAATCTCTTGGATCCATGTTTTTAGGCTAGTGAGGAAAAAATGGGAATGACTTTAATACTTAAGTGGAGTTTAACAAGTTATTGTGTAGTTTTAGGGTGGGTGTCTGGGAGTAACATATTAAATGAACAACTTAAAATAATTTGTGAATAACCTACCAAATCCAGGAACACTTTTGAGACTAGCTTTGAGGCAAATTTTCTCCAATCTGAGGTAGCTATATCTCATCAGACAGTTCCACAGGAACAGCCAGTCCATTCTTGTCCGATGATTCATGATAATGACACTTCTCTCCCCAGGAACAAACGCATCACCTGTTATAATCACTTTTATACCAAACATGGTCTCCAGCAATGCCTAAGGAATAAATAATACAGACATGTAACAATTGAAAATATGGTTTCCCATAGGTAAATTTTATCATATCCTGTAAATAAATCAGACTTCTAATAAGTCAAAGCCATAGTGTTTCTCAAGATTATTGCTTTGATAATAAATCCGGAAGAATGAGAATACAAAGGCCCTGTTTCTATTTTTAGTTTTATTAATTTAGGTTTCTGACAGTTTCCTAATTAAATGCTAACTTTCACTGAAATCTTCAGGATATATTATTAAGTTAAAAAGTGTAAAAGACATGCAAGAAGATTCTTTTTAAGGTTATAGATATATAAGATTATTACTTTCTAGAAAGGATAATTAACACCGGGTATAGGGCTGAGGGAACAGAAAGTCAAAATTTTCATTTTATACCTTTCTGTATTATGATCTTTTTAAACACATATACATATCTGCATAACAATATATAAAGAATAAAATAACTATATGTTTATAAAGTGCTGCAGCCTGGCATCTTCTACGTAGAAGATGCTCAAGTATTTGTTGAATTTGTTTAATTAACTTTTCTGATAACCAGGCATATAATATATTACAGACTGGTTTTGTGGAGGAAAAAAAAACAGAAGATAAGAAAACTTAATTATTGATTTCAATCCCTTATTTAAATTGCAAATAATTTTTAGGTAAAAAATTTACTAGTTAAAATATGACTTCACTATTAACAGAGAGAAAACTGGTCCAAGGCAGAGAAAAGACATCATAAAAACCTTTATAGAAGTGTATAGCCGTATAATGGAATATGAAGCAACAATGAAAGTAAATGAACTACAGGCATCTACAACAACACGGATGGCACACAACAAGCATAATGCTGAGAGAAGCAAAACAAGAAGTGTCATATGTAAAATTACAAAGAACAGCAAGGAAATGACTATCTTACGAGATGGTTGTAACTTCTCAGCCCTCCAGCAAACCACCTACTTTCTGATACTCTAGTTCTTGACCTGTTTGATAGTTACACTTTAATAGATCATTTTAAAGTGTGCATTTATGTTTTACTAACTTTGGATATATATGACACAGATGAGTGGACCAAGAAAAAAAAGATTAAAAGGAATATTAGCTAAGGAAAAGTCAGGAATGTTTTGTGTCCAAAGAATTATGGAATCAGAGTGTTAACATCTTAACAGAGTAAAACAGATATCCCACAGATCCCAGAGCTGAGATTCACTTTAGGGCATGAGTGTTTAACCTAACATCAAGTCCTAGAAGGATGGCCTTCAAGGGGTAAATAAATACGAACACCTCTTGAAAATGTATACACAGGTACTTTGCTCAATGCCTGCAGTTTTCATCAGATTTTCAAAAGGGTCCATAACCACTCAATTATAACCCCCACTCCAAAGTCTTGGGAAGCCAAGTCTCTATGTAGAAAGACTTCCTGATGGAGAGGATCATGGCAGAGTCCTCTAGGCTTTAAGTATATAGGACCATCACCTCCCAAAATGAATCACTTAAGACAAGTGTGAAGTCACCATCTATGGCTTATTAATTTGGATCCGCCCACTCTGTAAAAACTCTATCATTTGGAAAGCAAAGAACTGAAATGCACGATGCCCTTCCCTTAACTAGTAGGAAGATGAATTTGACTGCTAATTGTGTGTTGTACCACAGAAAAGAGTTAAAAATCTTAAAGCCTATAAATCCCAAACCTTCACCTTCACCTTTTAAGTGCAATTTCTAATACGTGTATCCTGTGGGTCCCAAATGTCAAAATAAATCCAGACTGTTTGTCCAGGAGCATATCGTATGGCATTCTCTCCCTTGCCATCCAGCACTTCATCAGAATGTGCCTGAAAGTTATATATAACCTTTTGGACAGCCTAAATCTCAAACTCACATTAATCATTTGTAATACCAGACAAGACCTATCTAGTCAATGTTATTTATAGCTCCTGCAAAGGCAGAACTACACAGAGATAAGGTTGTAACGTCTCTAAACTGCAGAATTCAAATAAACTGATTAATCATATAAACATTAAAAGCTGTTATAGAAAAAATGTGAGAATAGTGTCTTTTTTTCTAGTCTAGAACATAAACTAGTATAGAAGAAAAACTAATCTTATAAAATTTAATAATGCTTTACAGAAGCAATTTCTGAGGATCTTATATAGACCACTAATCACTACCTCCAAGTGTCCCACCGTGTCTGAAAACACAGAGAGGTTCCCCCTCATGATCACAGAGAATCAGTTTTGCCATCATGCCCCAAGCTCTCATTTATCATTCCAATGACTATTTAGTCTGAGGTAAAATCAACTCTCTGGCGCTCCCCATCTCCCAATCTGCTTGGGCTTTTCAGACTCCACTTAGGCCCAGCTCCTCAAATCCTTAGCTATTTAAGGCGCTGAATTCCCAAGTCACTCATCAAACACGGTGCCCCTTCTCTTAGCGGCAGTCTAGGCAGAAATTATACTCTGTATCTGTTGAACACCTGTTTTGTTCTAGGATTGGACTGGAATCAGCAGGCTGTGGAAGAGACTTGTGTCCTAGGTGGGGAGTTAGCAAATGATCTCTCAATTCCTGAGTCATGACTTAGGGTGAAAGGACAGAACTCCAAATAATTTTCATAATCCCAGGTTATTAAATAACAATTGGACTGTTGGAAAGACTCCGAATCTTGAGACGCAAAAAGTGCACCGGGCACATGCAAAGTCTGACCTTGACAATACTGATTATGCTGAACAGAACTGTCCTAAAATGACTGGTCACTCTGCAGACTGTTCTGGAAGGAATTCTTACACAGATAGGTTAGACTGGGCGACCTCTAACTCTAAGATTCTAGAAGATTTTACTGTGGTACTGCATTTAACACAAAAAAATGTGCTCCTTAAAAATGGTGAGAGAAGAAAAATCTTGCCAATGAAATAATTTTAATGCACAAGAGATGCTTACAAAAGAGATCGTTATGATTATTTCTGTGAAGCAATAATTTAAGTGCATTTACCTAATCTATTATTAGTGAACATTTTTTTAACTGTTTGGGATTGCTTAAAATAAAGTACGTGTATAGCAGAGAAAAGACTAAATTCTCACTGAGTAAAAAAAATTATTTGCTTCTAATTAAAACTCCTTTAGCACCCTGTAAAAGTGTGAAATAAAAGGTCATAAAAGACACCCTGACAATTTTTTGCAACCTAGTTATAAGGCATTCAACTTCTATAAATTTCTTAGCTGAAAGACTCTGCTTGATATGCCCTTACTCAGAATCAAGGCAGTGAGTTAAACAGGTAATAGAAGTTTTTTCAAATACACACTAATTTAATACTACAGTGGTGGTTGAATTTTGCGTGTGTATAAAGCAAAAGTCAGGAATAGCTGAAACTTAACCCTTGAAAATCTCTCAGAAAGGTACCTCAGGGAGACCAGTACACTAAATAAATCCAGCTCAGCCAGTTTTTTCTGGACTGTTGCAACAGTTTTCTCCAGCTGACCATCAGATGAAGTCACTGGTCGACATGCTATTTGAAACACAAGAATTATAATACAGCACCCCTCACATTTCCCATTTCCTCTCACTTTCAGTGGAGGTGGGGGCAACCCTAAATTTAAAAAAACAAACAAAAAAACGGCATTCTTATCTTTCCACTCTTCCCTCATCCACCCTAGTGCATGTAATTGGAGTTGTATAAAGACTTGTACCATAGTGTATGGTGTAATGCTGTGTGATAGTAACACAGCAGAAGCAGCTACGGCAGAATTTGTCGAGTGAAGTCCAGTATTTCCTCCAGAGTAAAAGATTTTAGTTATGTACCTAGCTGCCCAGAGGAAAGACCATATTTCCCAGATGTTATTACAGCCGTTCGCTGTTCCCTCCAACACGGTGAGCAAGAGAGAGAGGTGCTATTTGTAATTCACTGGTTTAAAGGAAAGCACGTGCTCTGGACTTCCTCCCAGACCCACTTCCTGCAGAGTGGGGCAAAAAAGTGGTAGTGACCAGTCCTGACCATATAAAAGAGTATTATGCCAGGCTGGGTGGAAGGAATCTGAGTCCCTGCATGACATCAGGGAGCAGAGCTACTTCTGAAAAGGCTATATTCACTACCTCATTTAGTCGTCAGAATAACTAACTGTCTGAGGTAAGTAGGTAGTATTAGAACCCCCGTTTTTCAAATGAAAAGAGAAGTTTAGGGAGGCTAAGTAGCTCCGCCAAGTTCAAACGACTAGAAAGTGGTAAGGCCAATAGTGAAACCAAATGTCTGTACCAATAAGCACTCTACTTATACTGGCTCTCCAAGGAAAATAGATTGATCATGGACACTAAAGCTTTGCAATTGCAATGATTCCTACCACTGTAGTAACTAGAAGAAAATTTTCAAAACCCTTCAGGTTTTGGTAGAGAGAAGTAGCCAAAAATGTGATTCATATTCAAAAGATTATGCACTGGAAAATTTAAGACATTAAATGAAATGTAAAACAATGTATGATTACTACCAAATAATCATTTACCTCCAAATGTCTGCCTTAGAATCAGATACACAATGCTGAATCTGAAATGGCTCAGTCCGATTTCCTTATTTTACAGATGATAAAATAAAAATCTTAAAAAAGTTAAAAGTTTTCTAAATGAAATGTCTCTGGTTTTATAATGACTATAAATAGAATTAGTTAACATTTAGATAGCTTGTAGAGGACTTTTTAGAAATATCTACTTTTGACAGTTAACCTTATGTGAATTGGGCATTATGTGCTTATTTTACTTAATATAAGTATGATATTTTATGGAAAAATACTCATTTTGTAAATAACACCACAAAACAAATATTCCATATTAAATGGTCTGTTTGAAGACTGCAATGAAACAATGGACTTCATATCCTTAAAGCTAATTTAATGGTCTGAGAAGTCACCTTCTGTCCTCTAACAAAGGAGGCAGTCTCTCAGGCGAATGAAAGACAGAAACTAGTCAAGCTGGTGCATACCTACAAGTAGGCAAGTTAGCTTAGGCAGAACACTATTACCTCCCCGAGGCCAGAAGTCCTATCTGTCCTGTTCGTCATTACCTTCTAGCAATATGCTTGGCACACGGTGGACACTTACTAAATAGTTGCTGGATGAATGTTCCAGGACCCTGCTGCTTACTTTTGCCATAAACAACAGTTAACTTACCAAAAAATCCTTCCTTCTATTATGAAACGAAAAAGAATTTTTGCATAAATGTATAAGGAGGATCCATACTGATAATGTAAGAATATTACAAATATTCAATACAATGTACTTCCTACAGGAAAAAAACAGATGAGGAAACTCAGAACATAATGAAACCAACAAAGAACCCAATATAAATTCTAGAACTTGATAGTACGGTATTTTAAATAGAGGTAGCAGAAGAGAGGGTCAGTGAACCTGGTGACTTGTGAGAAATCATCATGCCACTGAGACTGATTTTATTAGTAGTTATCAGTTTCTCAAATTTTTTTCCCTTGAGGCATTCCCTGGCTTGAAAGAACTCCAAACCTCCTTCTTTTGAAACAATCATAAGGTCCCAGTGAACTTACCACTGGAAGTTAAAGTGCCATGTGACCCTGCCAAGGTTTTCCTATCACCTAAGGCTCTAATGGCAGCAAAGTGAGTTTAATCTCAGCTCTACTTAAATAATTTGCTTATGCATGTGACCTCCAGCAAATTATTTAATTTCTCAAAGCTTCTACTACTTCTGTAAATTGGGGATAATGGTAGTGCCTGGAAGGAAGGCATCCTAAAGTGCTTAACAGCTATGACCATCATTACCCTTTAACAAAATCTTATAATTCTTCTCCGTAATCTGGATTAAATATGCAACCATACCAGTTATAGTTATTATAGTCCCTTTCTTTGTGCTTACAGATTTAAGTGCAAAAACAGAAAAGAAAGGGGGAAGAGGAGAGAAGGGAGGGACAGACGGAGAGACGGGACTACTTTTAGTTTAACATGATCACATTTCATAAAACAGTTAACTGAATAATTTTTTTAAAAAATTAACCTTTGACAAAGGACAAATGCAATTCTTAAAATTAGTCACCAGAGGAATCCTTTTTAAAATATGAAGAGGGTGCACTGTAATAGCTCCCCACAGCATTAGCGTACTTTCTTCTCTGCAGATATAACAAGGGTGGGCTGCCTGAGGGGAAAAGTGCAACGCAGTTCAAAAGACACAGGTGGAAAAAGATCCTTCAGCAACTGAAGGACAAGAACTCCCTCCTTGTTTTCCTGGTCAGGTATATCCTCATCACCCCCACCATGACTGCTCCATAAACCCAGTAACATTAAGTTCTAGCTGTTGCTCAGGAAAAAGAAAGAACAGAACAGTCTCAGGAAATATAAGCTATTCAAGGTAAAGGCAGTGCATGGGTGTCACTCCATTTTTGGAGAAGGCATTACTGACTAGCAGCAACATGGAAGGGCTAAAGCAGCTTTAGTCCAGACGAGGGACGGGGCTGGACTGGAATCCTACAGGACATTGCCAGTTGCCAGCTCAGAATCAGGGAGATGTGCTCAGAGCTGTATGCACTGACCTTGCAGAGAATACCTGTCTGTTCCAAGAATCTACTACACATTTTGTACATACTTTTACTTTACAGATGCTGTCACTCTAGCTCATAGATGGGAAACCACTTTATTCCTAAATTCTGTGGTTACTGGGAAGAATTAAATCAATCACATCAATATCAAGAGTTCAAAAAAACAGTTTCTCTCAATCTTAATTTTTGCCATTATCTTGTAAAACAAATGGAAACACAAAATTAATGATGTAAAAATTCTTCAAAGTATACCTCGATGAAGGAAAATAAACTTCATGAGGAATATAAAAGAAACTTGTAATTTTGGAATATGGCTCTCAAGATATTTTACTTCAAGGACATGAATTATATTTAATTCTCTAGTTCCTGTATTTCCTCCAGAAAGGATTTATAGGTTTCTTCTAACATTTGACTAAATCTGACTCTAACAAAATAAAAATTGGTCAGCTGGGCCACTTTGGTCCAGTCTCCTTATCAGGCATGTAACTTACCACAGGCAGTGTGAGCCAGGTTGCCACAAGGCGGTTGTTGATCCAGCGATACCAAGATGGGCTTACAAACATCAAAGGTAAAAAGGGGCCGAGCATAAAAATGCTTCCGAAAAAGCTTCCGCAAAACAGAGTGAGTATAAAGTAAATCCCTTTCCATGACACCATGATTCTGAAAGATATAAAATATATATATATATATTGTTACTATACATATATCTGCCCAAATTGAAAATGCATAAAATAATCTTTCATTACAGGGCTACAGAAAAGCCTCAGATAAAGAATATAAGAGCTTGAATACCATAAAGGTAACCCTCATAGATGTCCTACAGGTCTAACAAACTTCCAGTACATTAGAAATCAATATTCTCAGAGTAAATGTCTAACCTAAAAAAAAAAAAAAAGCTGTCTCATTTAAGAAGGCTTTGTTTTTTTAACTGGTTATTAGTATTAACATAAACCTGTAGAAGTTACCCAACACAAAACCTTAAAATATTCCAGAGGTTTTTTTGTATCCCACTACAAAGAGTAGACTTAATGGACCAAGAATTACAGAACAGCTTCCTAAGAGTGACTGCCTGAAAGTGTTGGCAATTTTAGAGTGCACTAAATTTTTTTTAAAAATCTAGATATGTTAATTCTTCACATTAAAACCTGAAAGTAGTATCTTTGGGCAACTCATCTTAAACTGGCTTTTTCTTTATGAGCTGAAAGATTAAGTAGAAGTCAGATTCCTCACTTCCCTAAACTATTTGCCAAAAGATTACTTTCAGGGTCCTCATAACCAGAAATGCTTAATATTGACATTTTTAAATAAACTGTTGGAAACACAGTTTAAAATGAATAATCAAACATTTGATTTTACAACCTAAACAAGAGCAAAAATATGGGTTGCCTCAGGATAAAACTGTTAGAATCATTAAAATTATGAAAACAATAATGGCCTTAAAATTTTTAAATTACAAAAGGTATTCCAGTCATCAAGAGCTGTGATTCTTTTTAAATATTCAGAACAGGAAACAAAATTTCAAATGTCAAAGTGCTTTAATAAATGTCAGACAAACAATAAAACCGGTCAAATCTCTTACACAGATTCCAGTTTATCTGGGTGTGGAGCAGGTTTTTAAATCTCTACCAGTACTTGAGAGTATGTATACAAAATCCTATCAAGTACAGAGAATGAATATATGGGGACTGGTTTTTTGCTAAACTCACAATCTGAACTTCGAAGTGAGGGCGGAGAGAAAGACCTCTGAAGAGCAGAAGCGGAACACTTGGCCAGCTCAGGACAGTATGTGCTCCTCCGCACCCTCAGCCTCGCTTTCTGAGGCCCAAGCTCTCCTCTTTGCACTGAAAGAAGACACTTAGGCAGCTTATTTCCAGTCTTTACAAGAAAGCTTTTTTAAAAGAGGAAAAAGAAAAAGACAATCTGCAGCACTGCTCCTCTGCCTGAAACCCTCTAAGGACCCTCTGTTGCTCTGTTTGTTTCTGCCCTCGAGCCATTCGCTAGCTGTCTAGACACCTACCCCTAAACTCCCTGAAGAGCTGGGCTTCACTCTCATTTGATGTGATTAAGCTCCTTTATATTTTTTTCTTTTAGATATTGATATCATCTAATAAAATCTTTTCATTTTACATCGATCAAGCAAAGAACCTTTCCTAAGTCCCCATAACCAGCTGGTAGCACCAAGTTTTTTCTGCCTTCTACTTCCTTCCAGGATATTACGCCACCTCCCTCCCACTGAGGGGCTGGGAATCAGAGACCCGAGTCAGCTTCTAACCACGTGTTTGTAAACAAAGACTCAGATATAAAAGGATGTGTCCCATGAACATACTGGGGTTACTCAGGGCAAGTCTAATCTAAAATTACTTTTCCATCAAGCTCCTGCCTTTTCCTTAACCTCTTGATCATTTGTTCAATGACTCAATAAACATACAAAGAGATTCCTGTGTGCGCAAGGCCCTGTGCTAGTTACTTGGGGACACGACCGTGAGTATGACAGACATACCAAGCTCTCGCAAATCTGAGCTGTTCTACCGCCTCCTCAGGAACTCTTCCTTGGCTCTGTATTTAATCCAGCTCCATTCTGCCTGCTTCCAAGTCTCACGGGTTTCACAGACAAAATGGTTAACAACTATGACAGCTACACACTTATTTAGAATCGCTAAAATTGAAAAAGACAAAACAAAAACCTGGCGATACCACGTACTGATGAGGATGCAGAAGAGTAAGAACTCACACATACTGCTGGTGGCAAGGCAAAGTATTATGTATGCTTACCGGATAACCCAACAATCCTACTACTGAATATCCAGGACAGATGAAAATTTCCGACAACACAAAAACCTGTATACCATTGTTCATAGCAGCATTATTCATAACTGCCAAGAACTGGAAGCACCCCCAAACGGGGTGGGGGGAGATGGGTAAACAAATCCATAGACCAGATGCCTTTAGTTTCTTGCTCAGGAAGGAAACCTCTTTTCCTTCATAAAACGTCCTTATTTAATCACCTCACAATTGAAATGTTAACTAGCCTTGCTCCCATAGTCTAAAAGGTATACTAAGAAGTAACTGCAATTCAATGTGCTGCATGCTACAAGAGAGGATATAATGGAACGTGCAGCGTGTGTTAAGGATAGATCAAAGTAAGGCAGGATGAACTCTGCTAAAAGGGATTAAAAAAATGCACTAGACTCTTGGAGGATGTGAGGTTGGGGAAGGGAAAGATAATTCCAGGTAGTAAAACAGAACATGCAGAGTCACAGAAATCTGAAACAGCATCGCTTAAGCAGGGAACTGTAACTCATCAGATACTACTGAAGTACAGTGTACACAGTGGGGAGCTGCAAGAATCACAAGAGCCAGGTCCTAGGACAAAGTACACACACCCAGGCCTGCCAAAAATACCACCTTTGACGTGTCACCAAGAAAAAACCTAAGGCCTATGACGCATATTTTGGGATAAGTGATAATGGTGCACATAAGCATCAATGCAATGAGTGAATGGATTGGTTTTGTTAAAAAACCTTAAGAGCAAAGAGCTTCTCTTCTTTTTAAAATGGGCAGGTACATGGAACTTGTTGGCAAAAATCCTAGCATTGACAGATGCTGGTATCAGAGCAGTCTATGAGCCAAGAGCATCCAACCCAGCTCCACAACGCAAGAGCTGATGATCATGACCACATCACTTAACCTGTATGCTTACAGATGGGGAGGTTGGAGAAAATTCTCAAAGGCCTACCTTTTGAGCACCTAATATTTGCCAGGCACTTTACAGAAGGCTCGTGGCAGTTACATATTCAACACCTATGGATTCAATTATTCATGAGCAACTAAAAGGTCCTTAACATGTAAATACTCCAAAATTTTGCCAACACTCAAAATTTGATTACTCCAAGGCTGGGGTCAAAAAACCAAATAATTTAGGTAATAATAATTATCTGGTCAAACTGTCCAGTATCCTAATCTCAGTGGCCCTTTATTCTGTTTTACTTACCTCATAAGCATGTGGTGGGGCAAGTCAGATGCATAGTGGATTTGTAAATTTGAGATTTTAAAAGAACCTTACTCTCTACTTTGATAATGTCAAGTGTGTCTTAAAATAGGCACTTCACATTCTCATATAATCCCAACAAGAGCCTCAAAAGTAAGGTAGCAATAATATCAGCGGTATTTCCAGCTAAAGAAATAAGGGACTTGGGTCCGTAACGCTGTTCATACTGACAGAGGTGAGATAAAGAACCTCTAACCAGGGGCACTCCCAGAAAATGCAGTGGAGAGTTTGGAACCGGTACCAGAAAGATTTAAAGGCCAAAAAGTAAATAATGAGCAATAAAAGTAACAAAGAGTTAACCCTGAAGAAAGTAAAATTAGGCTTCTGGACTAGGGGATATACAGTGGGATTAAGTAACCATACACAGAGAATCCCGAATCTGAGACCTAGTCTTTCCTCGCTGGGCTTTCCAGTGGCTGGGAACAAGATTTCAGTCCTACTCCAGCGTTCTCCAATAAAACTTCCTGCAGTGATGGAAATGTTCAGTAGCTGTGCTGTCCAGTATGATAGCCATGCTATATGTGGCTATCGTGCACTTGAAATGTGGCTAATTCAACCGAGGAACCATTCATTCGATGTGGTGAGTGGCTACTGGAGCGTCAGTAGATCTGGTGGATCTGGGGATCTCACCAGACTGTGAAGAAAGATCAAATACAGAAGCACTGAGGGCTCCTTAATAAATGGTCCACCTAAATCACCCTACAGTGAGGGCCAGAGTTCATGGAAGCCTCACCTACGTACAAGCTCCTAATTGGCTTTTTAAGTCCCCTATTTTTTATTGTGAGCAGATAATGAGCCATCTGAGAAAAGCCTTTAACATGACATTAAAGACTAAGAAAAAAGTATACTTGAGGGAAACTATTCAAGAAAAAGAAAAGTAACATTTCAGAAAGACAAATACTGTATCTAGTAAACAAAAACATGTTCTTTGTTAAATAAAACAAAGAAAGGAAACATTCAGAGAATAAACGAGCTATTGGAAGTTGGCAACATAGCAATATGTTCAGCAAAAATTAAACACTCAAGAGTTGGAAAATAAAGCTGAGGAAATCCCCCCAAAAGTCAAGAAGATAAAGAGGTGGGAAGTAGAGTATTAGAGGACCAAGACAGGAGGTCCCATATGCAAACCATACGAGTGCTAAAAAGAGAGAAGCGAGGAATTGAAATCAGCAATAAAATAATTCAAAAAATTTCTCCAAATTCCACATTAATGGGGCCTGCTGAAAGCTAGGATAATGGATGAAAACAGATGCTCACCAAGGCACAGCACTGTCACTTTCAGGACAGAGGAGACAAAAGGACATTTTAACAAAACTTCTAGAGAGGATATAAACAGGTCACAAAAGATCAAAAATTAGATTGGCTTTAGACTTGTCAGTAGAAATAGATCTCAACAGCAATACCAGAAGCAGGATAAAAACAACAATGCCTACAAAATTCTCAAGAAAATTATTCCATCTGGTCATCAATCAATTAAATGTAAAGATAGTAGAACATCATCATCATACATGCAGAACCTCAAAACAACCTCCCATATAATCTTTTTTCAAGAAACTATTTGAAGATGGGCTTCCTAAAACAAAGGAGTAAATAAAGACTAATGGAGATGAAA